CTCCAAACTCAAAATATCATGTTATCTTCTCTTCTATCAGAAGCAAGAGGACATTCATAAAACTTCTGGACTTTTACTGGACAGTTTCTTCTGTGCAGTCAGAGTACGAACAATCATTCACTGAAGTACACGTTCAATCCAACACAATCATTTTAATAATCTCTAACGGTCTTTAAAGGGAATTTGTTTTTTTTTCATCTGTTCTGTTTCTGAGTCATGGTTTAATAAAACACAACAGAATCATCTGTTAATACAGCAAATATACCAACAAGTAAAAGAGAAAATCAGGCCCATTATGGGAAAAGATGTAGAGTCTTTAAAACAATATTAATATAAATAATACAACTTTCATAAAGGGTTAACTATCTGTACTGATTAATCAAACACAGTGTGACTCGGAGGTCTTTTACAGTTGTGTAATGAGGAATGTTGATAAAGCTGTGTGAAAAGTGTTTTAGTCGCACCCTGATAGTGAAGAATGGTGTGGAGTTTCTCAGAGATCCAGACTGTTCCAGAGAAGTTAATACAAAAGCGTTTTCTATTCCATGTCATGAATCTAATTCTTTGATAAGAGAATGCGAGAATAATTTGGGTGTGAAGTGAAATGTTTATCATTTGATATCAGGATAGAAAATGTTTACAAAATAAATCTTTAAGATTATTTTGAATCTGAATTGTTTATCTACATTCAGTGAATTTATAAATTCACTGATCATATGACAGTCAGAAAAGTACACTGGTCTTTTAATCAGTTGAGGTTTGTAATACAGTAAACACACTAAATTTCCATTTTGTAAGATAAGGAACAGAAAGTTTATTTATATAATACTTTTCAGACAAAGGCATATTGAAGAACACAGAAGACATGATAATTACAACGCAAAATCCAAGAGACAGAAGGACAAAGAGCTATTAGCCATCTACATGTTGGTGTGTGTGTGTGGGGGGGGGCGGGGGGGGGTATTTGGACAGAGAAGAAGAAAGAAGGTATTGAAAAAAACTAGTTCTGAAGTGGACTTTAAAGAGAAGACAGAGCAGTCATGGAGAGATACATGAAGATAACTGCATCATTTAGGAACCACAGCACTAAAAGATCTGCCCCAAAAGTGGAGATTTATAAGGGAGGGACCACAAAGAGCCCACATCAGAGGACATCAGAGCAGGAGAAAAGAAGGAGACCTGCAATAATAGGCAGTCCAGGGACGTCAAGAACATCAAGAGAAGAGCCTTAAACTGGATGCGTAATGAAATGGGTAACCAGTGAAACTGACAGACAATATTCCAGTCCTCCTGGAGGGAGAGCCTTACAGACTACAGAAGGACACTTAGTGCAGCACGCTCAGCCTAGCTGTCCTCTCTGATTGGAAATAATAAGAATAATCCTAGATTATTATTTAGCATAATCTCTCTGATTCAACTAAGAACCAAACAGCTACTGAACTCCAGATACCACCAGCCCACAGCAGCAATGATTTCCTGGATCTTTAAATTAATAAAATTAGTCCTTCAGACTGCACAGTTCACCTCTACAAAGCTGCCCTACAAAGCCAATCCAGATCTGGAGTACAGTGTAACTGCTGCGGTGGGGGCTTATCATCATTTACCTGCTTCAGTAAACTGAGCTAGTGGAATGATTTCCTCCTCAAAACCACCTACTGGAGCCAATTCCTACAAGTTTACTCAAAGAAATGTTAGCAGAAATAACCAAGCCTATTCTGTCCATGATAAACTCCTCTAGGCCTTGGCTTTACACCACACACTCTGAAACTAGCAGGAATTAAACCATTCAGTGACTCTTGTGTCCTGTGGATGGGGCACTGTGACCCCCCTCACCAGGACAGAAATGTCCTAACGTAGGATAAATGTGATCAGTCAGAAGGACTGCAGTATCTGCAGTGACCCTTCCCTGTGATTTGAGATGAAATATTTCTCATAGTTCACTGAAACAAGTGGAGGAACTGTGTAGAAAGTACAGTAATTTTTCAATCCAAACCACATTACAGTCAGTAAGTAGAAGGAGATATTTTATTATGATTTGAATTTGAGGATTAATTATTGTTGTGTGTTCAGTCTTGTTTTGCATTAAGAAAAATAGAAAATCTATTACATTTTACCATAGTTTAAATATTTTACATCAACCAGAAAAATCCTTCACTTTTCCTCTCCTTTCCTGTCAGTGTTATGACTGTAGGCAGTGCTGCTCTGCTGCCAGTTACATCATTACTTTTATTGTCTTTACTATGTGTCTTTTGTGGGTTAATTAATAACTCACCTAATCTAAATTCTTTGGAAAGGTCTAAATTCTTTCCATCCTGATTTGACAGCAGGTCACAGTTTCCAGTTTGTTCTGTCTTCATTTCTTCAGAAAGTGTAAAGCCATAAACTCAAGTGATAAGAAAATGCTTTAAATGAATCATATGATCTAATTTGGAGCTCAATGTTGTTTTACTACATTTGCTTTTTGATATTTACAAACATACAAACAAGACATTTGCTTCACTATAAACCTCATAAACAGTGAAGTAAATAACATTTGTATACTGAGGTCTCTGTAGTTTTCAGATATAGAGTAGAATTTATTTATCTGTTTATTCTGTGTTCCATTCATCGCCCACCTTTTGACTTTGGGTTGAGTTTTGTATATAAAGCTCTACGCAGAGCTCTGGATAAAGGACATTTAAATCCAACTGTAGGACTTTAAAATGATCCACTTCAGCTATGCAGAACTGTGCCTTATTGTTTTTAAATGTAATTTTGGGACATGGTCAGTTTTTGGTTAATCAATAACTTGCCTAACCTTAATTCTTTGGAAAAGAGCTTTGAATCTGAAGATCTTCACAAGTTAGGCAAGTTATTATTTCACCAATACCTCAGGCACAGTCCTTTTATTTTCAGTTCTTAAAAATAAAAACTGTGTTTATGTGTGTGTGTGTGTGTGTGTGTGTGTGTGTGTGTGTATAATGTCTTGTTAGCTTATATTAGCTGCTCAATTATAATTCTGTGTACCATTATAATGTATAATAATTCATTTGTATATATGTGAATAAATGATAAATGACAAGTTAGAATATAAAGGATGCACAAACTGACTTGATTAGACTAGATATTTAGATTAGTTAATACTTTATTGTCCATTTTGACAGAAATGTATCTCACATGAACACACACATCATTTAAGTTGAGCTTTAAAAGAAGAGAGGGTAGAGCAGACACACAGAGACTGAGGTAGAGAATTACAATGTTTGGGGCAGTAGCACTGAAAGACTTGCTGCCCACGGTCAAGAGTCTTGTGTGACAGTTGGGACAAAGGTTTATATAGGGGAGACACCATGGAGGGTTCTGAATACTACTACTACTACTACTAATAATAATAATAGTAATAATAAATAATACTACTAATAATAAGTTAATACAGTGCCCTTCTCAAACCCAAGGCTGCTTTACAGAGGCAGGGGAAAAAAATTAAAAAGCAAAAGAGTGAAAGTGCTAAGAAAAAAGGCAGGTTTTGAGCTTTAAAGGAGGAAAATGAGGGACAGTCATGGATAGATTGTGGTAATGAGTTCCATAGTTTAAGGGCCATGAAGCTGAAAGATCTGCCTCCAGCCATGGTCAGTCTAAATTTTGGGACAGCAAAACAACCTGTGTCAGAGGACCTAAGTGTTTGGGCAGGGCAGTAAAGGTGCAGGAGTCCGGCTAAGCTGGTGCTGGACCATATAGAGTTTTGTAAGTTAGCAGGAGGACATTAAGCTGGATACAAAAAGGGACGGGTAACCAGTGTGACTGATATAGAATTGGAGTGATGTGCGCTGATTTTTTGGAGTGAGAGAGAATTGTAGCTGCTGAGTTTTGTGAATCATGAAGAGGGCAGATAGTTTTGTAAGGAACATCAATGAGAAGGGAGTTGCAGTAGCCTAGGCGGGATGGTATGAAGGCATGGACCAGAGATTCAGTGTCTTTCATGGAGAGCAGGGGGTGAAGTGGTTCTAGCTATTACTAACGCCTCTTCACGGTGATACTTTATATGAAAACTGTATTCATAAATACACTATATTGCCAAAAGTATTCACTCACCCATCCAAATCATTGAATTCAGGTGTTTCAAAATTACTTCCATGGCCACAGGTGTATAACCAAGGAATCAGTCTCGGTGAGTCACACATGTAAGACATTAACACACTGAACAGACCAGACAAACATGGACTGATTAAAGCGTTAAACTAAGACACAGATACAATAGAAACACAATAAATAGAGCAAAGAATGAAGAATGAAGAATAACAAAGGGCCGTGGAGGAGCTAAAGAGAAGTGTGAATATCTGTACATATGCAGGTCTGAATAGACGTAACATCACAGAATGATATGAACATCTGTACAGCTGTGCAAATAATCATTCTGATGATTTGGGTCAGCTGCAATTTTATATTTTATAATATGGGTTGAAGTATTTCAAAAGAACTTCATATTTTCTGTGAGTTTGAGCTGTGGATGTGTTATCTAGTGCAGAGCCACACTGCACACTGAAAAGACGAGGAATAGTAGGCGTCTAACTCATTTTACCCAAATCAGGTTTCTAAACTGAGCTTGTTTAACACACACAACTGTTTTCTTTAATGAGGATGGAAACTGCTCCCTGTTGTTTTCCAACTAAAGAAAAGTCTGTTAATAAAACAGCGCCACCAGCTGATGAACCTCAGTGTTGCGCTCCCTGATTTCCTTCATCTCATCAATCAACATGGTAGAGCCTTTCTAGGGAGGGGCTTGAAGGAAAAACGGACACATAACATTTAATTCTTCATCATGCAGAGTAAAGTAGGTGTTTAATTGATTAAATATGTGTATATTCTAAGTCATCAAAGAATGTATCTGAAAATAAATAATGACTCCTTTAATATTTAAAATCAATACTGATCTTTGTTACTAATATGGTACGTTCCACCTGATGAGTCATCATGAGGGTACAAATAGAGCAGAAGGACAGCAGGTTCAACACAGACGCTCAGCTCATTCAGAGACTTCTATTCTACTGCAGAACTCCCCTGAAGAACCTGAAGAACCATGACTTCTGATATGCCTGGAGGGTGGACTGAGTGGCGAGAGGCTGATGCAGAAGTGAAAGACCTCTGCAAGAAGGTGAACGAGAATTTCCTCACATTTTCCCTTTTAATTGGTTATTTTGTCAAAACTAAGTCAAAACTAAATTTAAATGATAATTTAAAATCAGAGAATATCAGTGACACTGGACAGGAACCATTTTGAGAATTTTGACTGAAGCTTGAGAGTGATGATTACACTTTAATAATTCTGAATTAGGTCAAATATTAAGATAAGAAGGTAAGAATGAGAATTCTGATTGAGTGACAGTGTCAATAAACAGATCAAACAACACAGGTCACATATTTTGATATGAAGATCAGTGAACAGAATCATTCAGAGCTCTTGAGAAGGCAGATCATCATCCTGAATTAAAGAGAATATTAATCTGAATATAAAAGAAAACACAGCTGAAGTTGACTGATGTTGCTGCTGAAGTACAGGAGGAGATTTGAACTGTGTGATAGAGTCTGGAAAGTTCTTTCAGGTGCTACTCAACCAGGAACGTGCAACTATGTTAAGAACAGGTCAAGCTTTCTTGTTTAAAGATGTCAAAGTAATATAACTGTCATGATCTGTGCAGCAGTCTTGCTTTAAACCAGTCTTAACATCTATGATGACATTTAACAATTACAAAAATAACCAAATTATAATACTTAACATGTAACTGTACATAAAACCCACTGAACATCTTTATATTCCTTATAAATAATTTTGTGCTTTAACTGTTTAATGCAGTTCATCCATTTCAACCCAGCAATTCTTTAAAACACCCAGATCATGAGAAATTCCTTGTTTATCTTGTACTTGGCAAATAAAAAAATCAAGTTCTGAAATGAAACGATGAAGAAAACAATTAAGTAAACCTTTAATATAAACTATGTTATAGGATTCATTAAGGGTAGAGCTTGTTATTGGAGTTAATACAATAAGGGAACATTGCAAAAAGGAATAGGTACAAATTTTCATAGCAGACAAGATGATTAAAAATATTCATTCTATATAAATCAATCAATTTCACCAGACCTTTAGTTGGATTTCATTCTTCACTGAAAGTGATTTCTGATCTGACTCTGTTTCTTTGTGCTGATTTTGATTTCAGGTCAAGCCTATAGTTGAGAAGAAAACTGGAAAGAACTTCGCTGTTTTTGAGCCCCTGACGTACCGAACACAAGTTGTAGAAGGAACAAACTACGATATCAAGGTACACAATATCAATGATTTCATGTCAGTTCAGTGCTGATTTAATCCATATTTCACAACTTGATCTACACCTGATCTATGTATTAACTGACTCTAAATGTAGGTATTGTGATATAAACTGAGTCTGTTCTACAGTTTCTCATTAGGCTGAATGAATAACTGACTCTAAATGTAGATATTGTGATATAAACTGAGTAAATAACTCTCTGTTATTGTTTGGAATAGTCAGTAGTAATGCAGAAATCATTCATGACTATGAGAATGCAGATTAAATTCAACACTTTCACTTTTAAATATTTGAAGTTTCCTGTCTTTCAGGTTTCAGTCAGTCCTTTTTGGGGAGAATCTGTGATGCTGCTTTAAGGAATAATTGCCTCTATTGGTGAATCCTAATGAATCCACACCCAAACAGCACCAAACTGAAAAAAGATTCTATGTAGGTGCTGCATTTTGTAATTGTATGAGTATGTGTCTAACTCTCTCTCTCTCTCTCTCCCTCTCTCTCTCTCTCTCTCTGTCTCAGGTGTATGTAGGTAATGATACGTGTGCGCTCCTGAGGGTTTGGCAGAAGCCTTATGGTGAAATTGCGGAGGTGAGATGTGCTCTGGTTCCTCTGCCCAGTGTGGAGTTCTATAAAAAATACACCGCCTGATCTGCAGGTTTTCACCAGGAGGGCTCATATACAACTATCTGATCATCACTGAGCTTTACAGGTCTTACATGCGTCACTAAATGCTGATTATTGAACTTTACTGATACTTGTTTTTGGTGGTTTCTGTGAATTTTTCTTTTTTGTTTCTATTTTGGTTCTATAAGAGGTTTTGACTCTGTATTTACTCTGGTGTATGTGTTTTTAACTCCTGCTGTTCTGATTCTGATTATTGAGCCTTAATAAACTCATTTACTGCAAGCAGCTGCTGCCTCCACCTCCAGATCAGTACAGCAATGCTAAAATACAGGCTTTATATGTTTAATCAGTTTAAAGAATGTAATAATGGATGAGATACCTGTCAAGTTTCATGGTGATTGGCCAATTTTAAGGCTGTCAAATACCTGCTGAAATCTGATTGGCCGGTGGTGGCCATGTTTTACCGTAAAATCTATAGATATTTTTAATATGGCCAAAATAGCTGTTTTTGGGGCCATGGCATAAGTAATCAGGAGAAGAAAGAAACAAAATTCTATGACATACAGTACAGAATCGCCAGCCCTAAACGTACAAAGCTTTGCTATAGCGCCACCATTAGGCCGATTGGGCTGAGCTCGAGCGCCTGAGTAGCGAGGGGCTACTACCTGTTGACCAAGTTTCATGTCTGTACGACTTACGGTTTGGGCTGCAGGATTCGTTTTATGGCAGAAACAGAAGAAGAAGAAGAAAAATCCTATCAATTATAATGGACCCCTAATACTACTACTACTACTGCTACTACTACTACTACTACTACTAATAATAATAATAGTAATAATAATAATAAGTGGGCACCAGTCCAACAGGACAAAACACTCTCTGAATGAGGTTCATGTGATGGTTAACCATAAGGAGACAAAATAAAAAAAAAATAAAAAAAAAACTGGAAATTGTAGTAATTTTCTCGAAATCTGAAGGAAGGAAATTTGATCAAACCTGCTGGAGTTCTTTCTTAGCTAGTAGAACTTCTGGGACTCCAGTATTGGGGAGGAAAGCAGAGAAAACCTTTATAATTTCATTCTCACTGGTCTTTGGGTTTGGGACTGAGAGGCCACTGGCTTTGAGGAAAGACCCAGAGCACCTTTTAAGGAATGAGAAGTTCATGTTCAGTATCTGATCTTCTGAAGAGAACGGTTCAGAGTGGGATCAATAAGAGTTGGAGCCAGGGGTCCAACTAGGAAGCTGATTGGAAGTCGAGAGACCCCCAGTTCACAACTGAAATTGAAGTGCTGCAACTTTTATAAGGTTTAGCCAAAGTGAAGAGTTCCAGTCACACCTGGTCCTCAGTGTTGATCACTCCCCTTCAGGGTGGGACGTGTTTGAGGTGAAACACATTGAAATTTTAGCTGCATCTTCTTGGCCTTTTTATGTCCTCAGAGATTTTTCCCAGTTGTGTATCTCCACCATAAAGCTGAAAGTGTTTATCAGTAAGTTACGTTTCCCTCATGCTTTAATGAGGTGCTAGATTTGTGCTACAGTTCTGTTTCTAATCCCTACAAATCCATCCTAGCAAGAATTATTTGGTTCTAAGACTGTTCTGAGATTATTACACACACATTCTATCAATGTTTTCAGGGAGTTTTTTTTGTTCCAAGAATATTCTTTTGGGAATGTTCTCTAAAAACACAATCTGATAGCATCCTCAAAACGTCCTCTGAATGTAGCAGTTAAAATGTTGTCTTAGTTAACATTTAACCATATTGGAACATTTATTTGAAATGAAGAACATCCTTAAAACATTCCTTGAACATTAGATTAAAAAGTTTTCTTTAAACATTATTAGAACTTGTAGGTTAAGTAGCCAAAGTTATGTGAGTGTTCTCTGCTAGCTGGGACAGGGTTACAACAATTAGTCGACATAATCGACAACGTTGATTATAAAAATTTGTCGACTTGGATTTTCAGTGTCGCCAAATTTTTCCACACGTCATGCAGCAAAATATACTAAATAAACCATGAAAATCAACAAAAAACTGTATACAAACTAAAAAATTTAACTCATGACAAAATACGAACATGAAACGTTTTCCTAATCATAAGTCAGAATGCTGTCCTGGACAAACAAATATACCGTGTACTTTTCTAAATGATATTTTTATTTAAGAGTGACTGACGTGACCATTTACACTTTTGGAAAAGTGAATGTCTGTATAACTGTCTCGCTGCTCTGCTCTGCAGCTCAAACGCTGTATGTATGAAAGGCCAGCGGGTTCGAGCTATAGCGCTCACACTGCCGCATCACTCGCCACACAGAGGCAGCATGTGTGAATCAGGCCTAACGCTGCTCCAAAAGGGTAAAAGTGTTTTCTACCACTTCGTTCTTCAGCCAACTAATGTTAGCATCATAATGTTTGTAGTTTACCTGTCTGAAAAAAACAAGGTCTCATTGATTGTGTTGCTAAGAGACGCTATTTCAGTTGTGTTAGCTAACGTGTGGGAACATCACCTCAATGAAGAGCGCCAGTCACTCCAGAGCACGGCGACATGCTCACGTTCCTGTACTGCAGTTTAAAGCTTTTGTAAACTATTGCTAATAGTTATTTTGGACTGGAAGGAGACCTTTTTTTACATTTGAAACCTTATTTGAACCTTTGGACTTCCAGACCCAACAAGATTTTATATAGGGTGGACAATTGTTTTTTACTTTTAAGAAAAGTTGGAGGGCATGGCGGAAATAATCCTTGACCAATCGACTAAATGAAAAAATAATCGACAGATTAGTCGACTACCAGAATAATTATAAGTTGCAGCCCTAAGCTGGGACTGATCGGCCTACAAACCAGCTGTAAAAAGGGCTAAAGGTGGTGCAAACTGTTATAGTTTGGTCAGAAAGAGGCATTGACAATCTTAGAGGCACTTCATAGATCTGTTTATAAATCCAGAATATAGCCTTAGTAAACAGGATGACCGATTCATCATACGTTCCATTTTGTGTTGAGTGTAATTTACCCTCTAAATCTATTACTGTATTTACTAATAACAGGCCGTGGGTTGCAAAAGACCTGAAAGCTACTATTAATTACAAGAAAGGGTCATTTGTAATGGTACCCAGCAGGAGAAGAAAGAGCTTAATAAATTGGTTAAAATTTGTCATAAAATGTGCCAAATTAGCTCATTAAAACAAGGTTGAGCATAAGTTTATATGGGTATAAATTTTGATGAGAAGCTAAAATTTGAGGAGAATAGTGATGCAATTTTTTAAAACATGCCAGCATTGCAAAATAACCGGACTTCTACTGAGGTCATTGGCTTTATTACATGAACAACAGACTCTAAAAAGGCTATTCTATCATTAATGACCCATCACATGTCCTCCACTCTGCCTTTGAGTTGTTGGGCCACCGTTATCACTGCCCTGTCGGTGTGTCTGTCGGAGAGTGTTCATTGTGTCTGAGGCCATCAGGTTGATCAGTGATCATTCACAGTGAGCCTCAAGCTTACTATGTACTTTATCTGTTCATCTTATCTATGAAGATGTCTGTCTTTAGTTGTCTGTAGATGTCTCTAATATGTTTGTGTCATATGTTTATATGCCCAGTTATGAATTGCTGTACTGATGTGGAATCTGTGAGAGGTCCAGTCATTTTCACAGACTCCAATGAATCAACAGCAGCTCCAGCGGAGATCATTTGCAGATGAAAATGATACCTCAATGTCAGGGATTGCAGAAGGAGGACCGAGAGTTATCATTTTTGTTACAAATCCCACTAAAGGGCAATAAGCAGAGACATTTACAAATTAACTAGATAGATTGATGTAACTTTGGAGGATTGGTAGAAGTACTGGTGCGCATGGAGTGACTGGCAGGAGAGGAGGAATATGGCAAAAAAATTGATTTTATTCAAGACAATGACTACGCACAATGGTGTAGAACCTACAAGCACAAACAGACATAAACAAGCAGTACAACACGCCAGTACTGGGGCTGAGCTAGTCTTACCTCAGATAGAGAACGTGGACGGTGCCAAAGAAATGAACAGAATAAAACAAAAACTACCCTAAGCTATGATGTTGTCGAAGTCTAACCTAACAACCAGCACAGGACGCAAAATTAACCAACTACACTGGGCTAATCTTCCCAAAAATACAGGGGACAGCACCCGCCCTCTAACCTAGTGTGCCTAGACAGCAGAGTTTCCCTGCGTGGTGGAATGTAGGTGTGTGCGCAATCTAACCTGTTCTCAATCCGAAGGGATTAGCATGAGAAAAGGGAGAGAGAGAGCACTAAACAGAGTCAACAGCACTGTCAGAATAAGTAGACAAAACGACTGGACAAAACTAACAACACAGGTGAACTAACAACAGACGGACGAGTGAGCCGGTAGGCTGACACGCAGCTTGTCCACGTGGCTCTTGAATGGGAGGCTCTGCCCCTTTTGCCATAAGACTGTACTTGATTGGCCAGCTGACAATGTTCTGGACGATGATTGACAGCTCACTTTACCTATAGAGAGAGAGAGAAGGACAGATAAGAGGGAGAAAAGAGAGAGACAGAAAGAGAGAGAGAGACAGAAAGAGAGAGAGAGACAGAAAGAAAACACACACGGTTTCCAAAGCTGTCACGTGTCCTGCTTTTCAGCGCAGTGGAGTCGCCTCCGCAAAGAGAATGTGACATTATTTCGGATGAGGAGGAGTTTTCCCGTCACAACAAAGACCGATTGTTGTTATCAGAAAACATGGCATCCATGTGACCCGCTGTGTCTTTTGTGGAAAAGGCCTCCTGAAAATTGTGAAATCCGAGTAGATTCAGAATAGTTAAGCAAACATTCCATGGCAGCCCTGCAGGCGCACTGTGAACTGCTTTGAGAAATAAGCTTATCACTGAGGGACAGGTCGAGTTGGCTAAAAAGCATAATGACCGGGTAATTAATAACCTACAGCTGCACCGGCTGCCAGATTGATTCTGCCTGCATTGGTAACCTAACATGTGAGGTACAAAAGCGAACAGTTCAAATCCACGTTGGTTTCCCCGACCCCGCTACAAAAATATGATGGTTCCATTTTCACAAAAGCCGTGATTGAAGGTGTTTTTGGTCCGATTCGATACTGTTTTGCGTTATACGAAGCGTTGTGGTCTTTGACCGCCCCAAACTCCGCCAGGCCTGTTTTCTCGAGCCATCATGGCGAAAGGCAGCTCTCCAAGGTGCTGAAGAGAGCCGTCACACTTCAGCATCTACTGTTTTGGGCAGTCAGCAGCCGCGTGGCCATGAGGGCGGGG